TGGATGCTCTGTTTGAGGAGCTGGCGTTAAGACAAAGAAGCGGTGAGCGACTTGAACAGTGTGATTTCATCTGATGTAGTGTTAACGTAGATGTTTGGTTGTTTGGCCGTTGTGTGTATTTCTTCCACACACTTTCCCTCTTTGACCCTCTGAAGCACTTTCTGAACGTCTCCTGTCACATTTTTACTCGCTGTTGTCGATTTTTTCGCTGCAGACTGAAGTCCTGCATCTCTATGGAAACAGCAGGGCCGTGGCGTGAAGCAGAGAGAACTCAGAAATGTCTTTTGTGCACCATGAGCACAGTTATAATGCCATAAATCAATAGACGAGAGAAAAAAGACTGCTGAATTCTTTTCTTTTACAAAAGCTGAACAAACTTGAATCAACGCGTGCAGCAGTGTTTTTGCAGCGCTCACCGACACTGACTCCACACATCACAGAATACACTCACTCCATACGTTTTCATCTGCTCTGTGTGAACACAACCTGCAGCTCAGCTCGGACTAGAAACCCTGAATTCTTCTGCAGCTGAGTCCTGAGGGTTTTTTGGGTGAACTCAGGAGTACAGTATTTTATTTTTCGTACTAAAGCTTTGTTTTGATGATGTCTCGCTCTCTCTGTTTTAATGATGCATGTAGAATAAAGTGATTTTAATGATTTGAAGCTTTCCGATGGAATCACAGACGAGTAGTTGAAGGAGCGTCGGACAGCTCAGATGCGATCTCTCTGTTATTACAGTTTCTGGTAAACGGTGTCATTTTGGGGGATTTTGCAAAGACGCCAAACCTTTAGGCAGACGTTCAGAGGGTTAAAGAATAAGACTGATGATATTCAATATATTCTTTATTTTCACAAATAAATCCAGTGAAAAGTCTAAAATCAGTCATTGTGGAGGTTTTAATTGTGATTTTTGGTAACCAGGATGGAGCTGTTTAGCCCAGAAGAATAATTATAAGAATTCATATCTGACTGGTTTGCAGCTATTTGTAATCATAGAAATATAAAATATCAGCAGGTTTATCGTTTTTATTCTGCTGCATCGTTCTACACAAACCAGCTGCACAGAGCTGCTGCTTTAGTCGTTTATTATTGATGATTAGAGGTCGAAGCAAACCCGACATATAGATTCAGTTTTAGAGTTTGGACCCTGAAGGTAGCTGCTGCTTTTGGTTTCACAGTGGGTAGAGTTTATTAGGAAAAGTCTAGATCTTTTTATTCAGTTAATGTCTAAAAGCGGTGCAATATCACTAAATAATATTTGTTAGACACCTGGTGAGACGGTGAGTTCTACCCTGCTGGTGATGTGCTGCTGTAGCAGGCCTGTCATGTAAAATACAAAACACAGATTAACATCAGACATGTTCTTTACATTATCATCTGTATGACGTGACCAGAAATCTAAAAACAACGGTGGGATTATTTTGAACCTTCTGTGCTGTGGTTCCAGACCTTCAGACAGGCTGAACGTCTCTACAGTGTTTTTCTGTGTTTGAAGAGGGAGTGACAATAATGTACCTAAAAAAAGAAATCCTGTTTTCTGGATTTATTTACTGTAAGTTTCAATAAACAGAAACACTGATGTCGTGTGAAATGATCTGAACCTGTGTGGAGGCCGTGGACGCTCCGGCACGTTGGACCTGAAGAGCGTTCATTAGAACTTTAAAAACCACAGGATGGTTCTGAACCGTCCACTGTGCACCTCACAGAGTGTTTTTATATTATACGATATTTATAATAATCTATCTATGGCGAGAGCAGCAGGCAGAACAGACGAGTCATGAAATCATCTGGATTTCTTTGTTTCTGTCCTAAAGCGATGCGAGGCGCTCCATCAGCTCAAGTTGTGACGATGGAAACTGTGAGACTCACTGATGCTGTTTGTGTTGCCATAGTTACAGGCCCGCGGGTCCTGGCGGTGCTGGGCCGAGACGTGACTCTAGAAAAGACCTGCGGCTCCGTCGCTGACTGTACCTTCGATGAGCTGTGTGGTCGGGTGAGTGCGGTCCATCACTACAAATGTTGGTTCACCTGCATTTACAATCACACAGTGACAGAGATCTGCTTCTGGCAACACGGCATCAACATGTTTACTGAGTGAGTTAAACCACGGTGGTCTCGGGTTTGAGCTGTTCCTGGATCAGAGTGAAACGAGCAGAAGCTCCAGACATGCTGCTGTTCTCTCTACTGGACGCCAACAACATCCACTCAGCACTAATCACAACTCCTCACATTCAAAGCACTTCTCTTGTCTCTTTATTGCCTCTATGCTCTATTTCTTCACTCCTTTGTGTCGGTATTGTCCAAGCCTTTGACCTCCATCTTGGTCCTATTTTCTGTTCAATGTCAGAAAGCAAGTCTATTGACAGTTTTCTGATTAGCTGAGCGCGCTGTGGCTCACATAAAGCGGTGCGCTGTGTGAAAAGTCTCAGCCCTGATGGACAGCGGCGCGTTTTAGAAGGCATCTGAGCTTCAAGGCTTCCCCTGACAGATGTTGGCATGCTCTCATTAATTTTGAGAGCAATCAAACTGAATGGCAAAGAACCAAGGACGGGGACTGAAACGACATCAACAAGAGCCTTTAGCACGGCGCGCCCTCCTCCAAATGTCTTGTTCTTTTTTCCAGGCCAAGTGTTGAGAGTGTAAAACTCACAGCGTGTGTGTGTGTGTGTTTACGAGTGTGTTGCTCTCTGCTCACTGGAGTTCATCTAGAAGCTCCGGTCCGACTGTGTCTCGGTTTGTGACCCGTTCTGTGGTTCTGCAGGCTCTGGGCGCCAGCGACTACCTGGAGATGGCTCGGCTCTTCGACACCGTGTTGATCCGCCGGGTTCCGCTGCTGACGCTGAGCCTGAAGGACCAGGCCCGGCGCTTCACCACCCTCATAGACACCTTCTACGACAAGAAGGTACGGGGCTGGAGGAGACGATGACAAACAGCACAGCGTGAAAAACTGACGGGTTTTAACTGGAACTTTTTAAAGCAATTTACTGTTTGTTTGTTTTTACAGATTTTCCTTTTGTTATTTCTAACTTGTAAAATCACTGGAAAAACTATAATTCTATATGTTAACCGTTAAAAATAAACACACACACACACACACACACACACACACACACACACACAAAAGGCTAAAACTCACTGATTAATGTCTACATCCAAAGTCAGTTGTTTGTTTGTTTGTTTGTTTTTTGTGACGTTAGACTCTTTTTGTTGTATTTATATCAGATCAAAATATTATTATTTTGGAGATATTTGTTCCTAGAAAGAAAAACTTTGTGTGTTAAGACTTAAAACCTGCTATAAAAACAAAAAGTCGCCGTTATTTTAAAGATATTGAACTACAGTCAATATCTGGTGAAATCACAGAAAACAGGATGAATTTGTAAACAGACGTTCTAAAAAAACAGACGAAAATTTTTCCACATAAAGAACTCTGGCCATGTTTAAATTCACAAAAAATTATATTTTTCCATTTTCTGGCACCTTTCCTGCCAGATGAGAAGGTTTTTACATTTAGTGTCGGATTATCGAGTCACGACTGCACGAACCCTAACCTGGTCCATGACTTTTCCATTTCTCCACTGTGAGATAAAGTCATATCTTATTACGCTCCATGACTACACAGACATACGTTGTAGTTGGACTTCTGATTTCGAGCATTAATCTGCGGCTACAACAGACTTCGTTCCTCTTTTAAGACTTCATGCAGGACTTCTGAACCCGGCTGTTCCCGTTCAGGAGCATCAGGGAGGTCAGAGGTCGGACGCTGATGCTGGCTGATCATAAATGGCTTCACATCAGGAGTTGCTCCCATTCAGCCACAGGAGCTTTAAAAGAAGGTCAGCGCTGATGTTGTGTGATGAGAAACGGCTTTATGTTGGTGTTCCAGTTTATTCCAGAGGTCAGATGGAGATGTGGTGAATGAAGCTCCTTCACACCGAACTCCAGAAAAGCTTCTCTTTAAGGACGGCGTTTAAAGAAAGGCAGCATTGTTGTGTGGTTACAGGAAAGAGCTTTTACCAAACTTCTGCCACAAAGTGTGAAGTAAAGTGTTAGAACCAGCCAAACCCAAAACCGCCCCGGACATGTGTGAGGTCTTTGTTCGCTCTGCAGATCCTCCTCTTGGTCGCGCCTACGTCTGGATGTTGTTGATGCCCTGCTGAAGCTCTGACTGCCTGCTTCCACCAGACAGATGATGGAGGTTCAGCCTGACTTTCTGCAACCCTAAATATTTCATCATCTTGTGAGCGGTCTGCTCTCCCTGCTTCCCCGGGATGGTGAGCTGGATGAGAGGAATGGTCCTGGCAGCTGCAGACCAGAGCATCATGTATATGTGATGAAGTCCTGGTGGTGTCTGGAGGGAGCTCAGCCCTGATGTTATAGAGAAAAGAGTCTTTATACTTCCTGTGTCCTGATCTGATGCTCTTTCCAGTGACCTTAATGAGGCGCTGCATTGTCCTTGTTGCATCCCACTCTATCTCGATGCACCAGAAATGTGTTTCTTTCCATTGGCTGAACCCGGCTCGTTGGGTTCACACGATGCCAACAACCTCCAGACGCTGCAGCCAGCTCATGGCTACGTCAACATCTAAGTGAACCTGCTGAGACGAGGACATCTCCACCACCGGAGCCCTCTGAGGACCAGTCGGGCCTCGTTCTGCCTGTGGTTCAGGGCGATAACTGGAAGCAGCAGCTGGAGCTCCTCACAAAGAGACGCGTGTCAGCGAAGCAACGTGGTGGTTCAGATCTACAAGTTCACTATTCTCCTTTTTCTTTTGTCCTTTTTGCCGCCTGCTGGTTGGGGACAGCTTCTGTGTCCTTTGGCCCAGTGTGAAGGAACAACACACACCTCACGCCACAGGTCGACGCTCAGCAGAGCCTCCAGAGGTCCTTCTGCTTCTCCAGTCTGGTGATCAGAGAGCTCTGACGGCTCAGAGGACAGCACAAGCTTCATTCTCTGTGAATTCAAACACATGCAAGATTTGAATTTTTACTTTCAAACTGACAAAAGTGTCTCTTGGTCGCGTCAGCTTTGAAACTGCAAACATGAAATCCACTCAGTTCTGCAGAAAGTAATTAGAACAGAGCCTCAGCACTCAGCAGCGTGGCAGCTTCATCAGGGCTCACCTCCTATGCACCGTCACCTCATCAATAAATACTTTATTATGTCAGAGAGGAAGGAATAAAAAAGTCAATATGCACTTAAATCATCTCAGGGATGCAGTGAAACGCCTCAAACTGGCCAGAAACATAAACACTGTGATTCTGGGCGGTGAGCGGATGAATGACGGCTTCACTGCTCTCGTTTACAGCTGATCACAGGAAGTCGTTTATGCAGCAGGAAATAATCTCCATAAACTAACTGGACCTGCGCATGTCGTTGCTCGTCTCAGGTGAGAGTCGTGCTGCTGGCGGCGGTTCCGTTGGAGCGGCTGTTCGTCCACACCGGAGGAGACGACGAGCGGGACCGGCAGCTGCTGGACGATCTGGGCCTCAGCGGGGTGAGATCACGTCGCTGTCGTCTTCCTTCAGATGCTGATTTATTTGCTTTGTTGGTGTAATAACGAACCACTTCCCGCTCACGGCACCGTACATCATCTGTGTGGTGCTGACCCGCTGAACCCCAGGCAGCTGCTGGGTGGTGCTGTTTGTTTGGACCTTCATGGCAGCAGCTCGACTATCAGCAGAGAGAACTCACACGTCTGGTCACAGTCTTGATTCTTCTGTTTTGTAAAAACATGAATACAACCTAGAATCAACGTTTTCTCCTCAGGTGACTCTACAGACGTTTTACTACTTAGATGTTAGAAGTCGCTGGATGTCCACATTGTGACTGTTTGTGAGGAGTCGAGGCTCCACGATGGCACCGAGGACGATGTTTGTCCGGTTCAGGCAATTGGTTCATTCTTTGGCCAGTTGTTAGATGATGTGGGAAGAATAAAGCGAATCCGTGAAATATCAAAAATTCAAGCTTAGATTTTGTTAAAATTTTCAGAAGAAACAGCAAATCACAGACGAGCAGCTAAAGAAGGGTGAAATCTAATCAGTTTTTTTCTGTTCTTACAGTTGATCAACAGTGCAGGTTTGGATTTTAATTTTTTTGAGTTTATTTTTTTTAGAATAAATACCTCTTTAACCACATCATCTAGTTTTGGGTTCAGACAGCTGAAAGTAAGCAGGTGTGTGTTTTCAAATAGTTTTTCTTAAAGGTGGGAGTTAATGAATGACTCCTTTTGTTCTTGTTGTTTTTGGGTTTTTGGTTTTATTTTTTCACTTTAGTGAATTTTAAAGTTTCACCCAGAGCTGGATCTGCTTTTCTGGGATCACCAGGTTCACGCTGACGTAGATTTATTCTGCCAGACCGGGGACTGAACACCTGATCTGTTAATCACAAGGCAGCACGTCTAAACTCTCTTTTTTGACCCGTGCTTATTTCTGTTCCGGTTGCATTTCGCTGTTTGTTGGTAACGCTGCTGTTTGCTCGTCTCTTCAGGACGCAGCAGAGCGACTGAGTCTGTTCACGGCCGAGGAGGAGATCTTCGCCTTCCAGAGGACCGTCTCCAGACTGATGGAGATGCAGACTGAGTCATACTGGGAGGAGGGAGACCGCAGTCGCAGCGAGAAGCACTCGAGCACCTAACATCTGCTGCTGCTGCCGTGATAATTATCTACCTCCAGACAACACAACACCTCACTAACTACTGACGCTGCAGAAGAGGTTTAGCAGAAGTAGAAGAGTTCAGGTCTATTTTGGGCAACCAAAGTGAATTATTTGCTGGGAATAAGCAGCACTTAACTTCACAGCAAACCTGTACCGAGGCAGAACTCAGCCCAGTAGCTGTTTGAAATCTCACTGATCCTCTTCTTGCATGCTGGCTGCACCTTTTTCCTTTGCTGCTTGTTTCTCCTTGAGGTGTGCTCTCTCCCCCTTGTGGACTGTTTATTTTAAAGAATTTGTAAATCTCTCTAATATGTGTGAAGCACAAGGCGAACAGGTGCTGCTTCAGAGACAGGAGGAGACCAAGTGTCCTCACTGCAGTAGTTTACTGCCCTCTAGTGGGTAGATCTGGAAAGGGTCAAATATTCTCAAGTTGTCCCTGTTTTCAGGAAATAATGTCAGTCTGATAATTAAACCTACTCTGTGGAAAATATGGTGAAGGTTTAAAAATGTTATGCATGATTTTAGTTTAGATCTGGTGTTCAGTGTTGTAGCTGTTGGTCTGGATGTGACACCAACTGCTCCTGATTTTAAATCTCTGCAGCTTCTGTTTCTAGCACTACGCTTTGCTGCCTTTGGATGGACAAATGTGTCTTACATGCAATGACTGACAGAACTGCAGGTTGCATTAAAATGTTTTAATGTTACTGAGTTGTTAAGGGGCTGCAGGTGTCTCGGTGTGCAGGTGTCTCGGTGGTTTGCTCCGTCCCCGTTGGTGAGGACACCCGGGATCTTCCTGCGTGGAGTCTCCATGTTCTCCCCGTGCAGCGTGGGTTCTCTCCGGGTTCTCCGGCTTCCTCCCACAGTCCAGAAACATGCTGAGGTTAATTGGTGATTGTAAATTGTCCGTAGGTGTGAATGTGAGTGTGCTTGGTTGTCTGTCTCTAAGTGTAGCCCTGTGATAGACTGGTTACCTGTCCAGGTGAACCTGCCTTCACCCTGAGTCAGCTGGGATAGACTCCGCCCCCCATGACCCTCGTGAGGATTAAGGTGTAGAGATGATGGATGGATGGAGCCATTTATTCCTGCAGAAGATTGTTTTTAAGATTGTTGCCCAGAATCTATATAAAAAACTAGCATCCTGTCTTCCAAAACGACCCCAGCATTAAAATGTAATACACTACATGTTAAAGTAAAAACAGTAAAGTTTTGTTTGACAAGCTACACCTTTTTTGTTTGTTTTTTTGTGTCTATATTCTGGTTGCGTTGATGGAATTCTTACCGTGTGGTGTTTTGTAACTCCCTCCTGTTGGCCTGTAGGTGGCAGCAGAGGGCAACCAATTCCTCAAGGCCTATTATTGTGTCCATCGAAGGATGAGGTCATCCTAGTGCACCACTCCAGCCTGGACCTGCCCGCTCTCACAACTACTTCACTATCTAATCCAAGAGCATTATATAAGGTTCTGTTTTTGTACCAACCAGCAAGTATCAGTGGACAAACACCAGAGTGAACATATCATCTCGTTAGGTCTACAGGGCGGTTCGACTGTGTGTGTGTGTGTGTGTGTGTGTGGAGTCACTCACATGACGTGTTGCATAAAAATAGGCTTGTGTCAGTAACAAGGCTCGGAGTCGACCCCGCTATAACTTTCAATTAAATCAAAATCAATCATGAGCGAGGCACCTAATCCAATCAGAGCGTCGTGCCATTTGGGCCAAACATCAGCCACAAACAGAGATGGGCGCCGGGCTTTGTGATTGGCTTAATTGGATGATGCACGCTGGCTTAGAGGAGTGGTGGTCGTCTCCTTCATCCTCTCTGGACCACGGTTTTGATGCCCCGTGCTGACGGAGGGGAAAAACTCCAGCAGCATCATTTTAATTACTGAAAAGAGGAAGACATGAACGTTGTACCTGTGTGATCTGGATACAACACGACACGCTAAAATGTGCATTCAGTGTACAGTATGTTTAAAAGGTGGCAAGAATGTGATGTCAGAAGGAATGAGAAACATGTTGAGCCAACACGGTTGCAGATATCTGAAATAAGTGATAGAGTTGTTCAGTAGGTGTCCTTAGTTAAACAGAAACGGTGTAGAAATGGGAACTGTGTGGGTCCGTGTGAGTGTTTGAGGCTGGTGTGCGTGACCGTGTCCTTGTGCAACACTGCTGTGGCCTCCAAAAGGGGCATTTAGGGTGAAGCTGGTTTATCTAGGTGCCAGATAAACTGCAGCAGAGTTTTTAAGGAACACGAGATATAGATCGACACACATCTGCATAGACCTGTTAGAGCAGGTACAGTTCTATAGTGTGGTCTGCAGCTAGAGGGGGTGCAGAATGTGCCACACGATGAAGCAAATAAAAGTCAGTATTTAGTTATTTAATCATTTTTAGCTGATTTCAGTAAAAGGTGCTCCAGTGGAGGTGTGCTATGAATGCACCTGATCAGAAGCCTTACGTCACTGAATGACCACCAGCTGCACATACAAACACAATCATGCTTAAATTCCTCTATAAGCGTGTTAAACATTCACTCACATACATCCTCTATATAGACACACAGAACCACCTTCATGTCGGTGCGATGCAGTCGGTCACTGCTGCACACAGACACACTCAGACATCCTAACCTCCCGCTGCACATCCAGCAGAGCAGTTAACTCTATAGTTCTCTGCGGGAGCCAAACTGCTGCATCAGGTATTCTCTTTGATGCAAAGGAGAACAAAAACCATGCCAGTGTGTGTGTGTGTGTGTGTGCAGGCCGACTATCTCCTGTAATCCTGTACAGTAAGGACTCCAGACTGCTGCTGAGCTGGTGAGCTGCAGCTGAAATGTGTGTCAATGAGCACGTAACACAATAGCTTCCATTCTTTTGTTTTATCCTTGATGGTTGTGAACACTGACACACTGACGCTCTGACTGTAACTGACTCCATTAAACCTCATTCATCACGGTGACATAAAGGCAGGAGCACCGTTGTGTCAAAATTCAGGAACACCATTCACTATAAAGCAATGCTGCAATGTTTGAGTAAGATGTTGTTATGGTCAGACGCGAACGCGCATTCCTGCACAGAAACAGCGAGCACGCGCGTCGTGCACGGCAGCCCTCGGTGAGACAAAGAAGACGAGGCTGTTTTGATCCAGTCAAGGTGGAGGAGGAGGAGGAGGAGGAGGAGGTCCAGAGCATCACTTACAGGATGGAGGAGCATCTTGGATTTCTGCCCTCATCTCTCTGGCCAATAAACCAGGTGACGTCATCCCGGACTACAGGAGGAAGGGGGCGTGGCCTGGGCGCCGTGACAGGACGTGATTGACAGGCCTGGTGCCTGATTAAAGGCGCCACGAACAGTGAGCTCTCCTCAAGATGCTTCATAATGATGAATGATGATGTTAATGAGCATCTGACCCCAGTGAGGAGTTTCTGTCACGTTACACTGATGTTACGGTTCAATCAGAGAAGCGCGTCGTCCTGGATACGGTCACGTTCCCGCTGGATCAGGGAAGAGGCGCCACTGGAAACATCTGAGGAGACAACGAGGCATGCAGGAGTGTATTTAACAATAAAATGATCATGAATGATAGTCCTGTACTGATTTATTATCATATAAATTAATCAGTGCTCAACAGACTCATTAGCAGCTACCTGACAGTCAGCTCTCATTTTGGAGAACATTTTAATTTAAGTTGCAATTTTTTGGACTTCTGTAAAATTAAAGGCAGTGACATTTTTTTCCCATATTTTATGAAATTTTATGAAAATCATCAATCCACTCAGCTCATAAGATGACGTTTTTCTATAAACAATAATTCATTGATTTGTCAACACACAGCAGCTACATTGATAATCAAGAAGTCATTTCTGAAGCAAATTTAAATGTGAGCAGCTATTTTTTTAAAGACTTCTGTAACATTAAAGGCAGTGAATTATTACTTTTTTCATATTTTATGACGTTTTATGGAAATAACCAACACACTCCGTTTATAGAATCACATTTTCTATAAATCAATTAAAAAATATCAGCGCACAGAAGAAAAACTAGCAGCTATACTGATCATCAAGACGTTTTGTGAGTCATTTTTGAAGCAAAATTGAATGTGAGTTGCTATTTTTTAAGACTTCTGTGAAATTAAAAGCAGTGAATTTGGGTTTATTTAAAATATTTTCTGAAAATAATCCCGACATTGCGCTCATGTGGTGCCAGATAACATCCTACTGCTGGAAGGTGTCCTGGAACCTGTAAATAAAATGTCTGTGCTGTTAAAATTCGCTCCGACATGAAGTTCTAGGTTAGATTTCAGTCCTTTCTTCTTCTCATGTGGTGCCCATCATGTGTTTTTACGCACATCACCGACATGTCAGGACGTATCCTCGCCTCCACCTGCGCGCAGTCCGGCTGCAGTGTCTCTTTAAAAGGCGATCCCATGCTCAGATCCAGGGGGCTGGCCCTTCATCGACTTGCATGCGTGTGTGTGAGTGTGTGTGTGTCCGTACGTAAGTGTGCGTTTGTATGAGTGCTCGTGAGTGTGTGTGTGTGGAGCGCTGAGTGGAGAGCAGATCGAGATACAGTAGTAACCCGGAGTGAGGTGGCAGTCTTCTTCCACATCGACACCGAGCTGCCCTGCGCACATCCTCTCTGCCTCCAGAGCGCACTTGAGGAGTGAAAGAGAAAAGAGTCAAGATGGCATCTGGAAGTGGACAATCCGGGATCTAGTCTTCTGGTTTTCTCCTGCTCCCGCTGAGTGACTGGCCGTCCAAGGTATTTCATTTAAAGTGTTCACGGGGGGATTTGTTTCCCAGAGAAATGCGCTCGGAGCGCTCAGTCCTCTGATCTGCAGTCGCTGGATTCAACATCTTGGCAGCAGGACGCGATTCGGCTCCTGTTCGTGAATAAACGTAGTGGATCTCAGAGAGGGACTGGGTCCATGCTGGAGCTCTAGATGAGACCCAGGTCCACTGACAGATGTTGAGCCTGCTCACTGACCCGCTGCCTGCCTCCGGTAGACCCGTGTGCCTCTGACTTGGCTCTAACCGAGTGTCTCTTGTGTCTCTGTCCTCAACAGGCTGATAAGTAAGTTGCTGTCTCCCTGGTGGGACTCCAGCGCTGCTGAATAGCAACAAAGGACGGGAGCGCGCATTCATGGGACGCGACTTTGACAGCTCTTCATCTCTGCGCTTCTAACTTTATTACCTGCAGCTGGGGGGAGATCGTGACTGGAGGTGGGGGATCATGGCCGAGGCTCCGCTCCCCGACGCGCTCCCGGACTTAGACGTGGTCATCGACCCGGATTTTGAGCCCCAGAAGCGGCCGAGGTCTTGCACCTGGCCGCTGCCACGGCCGGACTCGAGCGCGGTGAAACCGGAGAGCAACGACACAGATATCATACCGGAGGAGGAGGACGACGAGGAGGACAATGCCACCGCTGCGGCCATCGGTGTCAACGGCTCCGGCGTGGCGGCGGACGACCAGAGCAGCAGCAGCCCGGCCGCGGACGGAGCGCTGTCCTCCCCGGGCCAGGACAGCGGAGGCTCCCCGCTCTCCACGCACTCCCCGACGGCCACCTCGGGCGCCCTGACCCCCAGCAGCCTGGCCGCGGCGCAGACCCCGAGGAAAGCGTCCTCTCGCCGGAACGCCTGGGGGAACCTGTCCTACGCCGACCTGATCACCAAAGCCATCGAGAGCGCGCCAGACAAGAGACTGACCCTGTCCCAGATCTACGACTGGATGGTCAGATCCATCCCCTACTTCAAAGACAAAGGCGACAGCAACAGCTCTGCAGGATGGAAGGTAAGAGTCCCCCAGCAGCAGCCCACCACCTCCTCCACATCCACCACATCCACCACATCCAGCACCCAGCACCCTGCAGCCAGCCAGCAGCCCCCCTCCTTCCTCCATCAAAACAAAAACAAAAGCATGTGGCTTGTAAACCCACTGACGCACACACGCAGAAGACACTCACACGCACACAATGACGCCACCGCTGCCGAGCTTCTTTACGAGCATCTATTTGGAAAGTCTGGCTCTCATTCCAGCCCACCTCTCATTACCATGCTAATGGGAAGGACAGAGCCGGCAGAACAGGAGAAATCACATCATTTATCCTGTTAATGACCTCACCATCTCCATCCTGCCCTGATCTGCTGAGTTTTATTCATGCACTGAGCAGCACATGTATGATCCTGCAGTGCTTCACTTCATGCATGACGGCTGGAACTGGAGCAAGCAAACGTTGTAACCGGTTTGTCTGGAAGCACACTAGCCTATTTTTGACTTATGCAATCCTGTTTAAGACGCAGAGAATGACACAATTACGTAAGACAGTTACTGAACAGCAGCTAATCCAGTAGTGGGCCAATGAGGAGCTGGATGTAAACAGAATAATGCTGTAGAGGAACCTGACAGGAGCTCTGCTGCATGTGTAGCCTCCTGTGTGGGCCAGAGCAGTCCTGTAGTCCCTCCGTGGTGGTGGGATTAAGACACTATGGTTCTGTCACCTCATGCTTTGGTGCATTTTTTTATTTTTATTTAAAGTTTCCGTGCCGCTGCTGTCACCACGGCATTTGCCATTTGTTATGTAAACCTTGGCGGGGAACTGCCGGTCTCCTGGGTCAGGTAGGCAACTGCCAAGGTTGCTGTTCCTGCCATGGGGGGATTACGTAACAGCCGGGTTGCCCTGCGTTGGGCCGAGCCGTAGAGGATGAAGCTTCTTTTTAAAGGCCTCAATCTGGTCACCCAAAAGTACATATGGGGACCAGCGAACGAGAGCCGGAGCAGAGGAGGAAGGCACAAAAGGTCAAAGAGCAGAGATTAACACCCATCAGAAGCTGAAAGACCAGTCCCACGGGGTGTGGAGCCTATAGGCCATGTTCCGTCAGGGCTTCTCAAGTTTTGTTATGTGATATGCTTCAGTGAAGAGCAAAAGGAGGCTGTGTGTGTGTGTGTGTGTGTGTGTGTGTGTGTGTGTGTGTGTAGCCCTACCGAGTCAAGGCCAGGTTCACTGTCACCATGCAGGGTTGTTACTCGTGGAATTTGGGGCATGAGGGCCAGGCTGTCAGTGGTTTAGTGTTACACATGGGCTGTCAGTAAATCTTGGCTGCGGCTCGCGGCCGATGCCTTCGTTAGTTTTCTTATAAGACAGTCGTTTTCTCCCTCAGACACAGAGCCGTGGCGCTATGTATCGCTAATCAGTGGCGTTTAGACGAAGTTCATTAGCAGAGACCTTTCTCCAGGATGACACGTCTCCAGCTACAGCCGGGGGTTTGCCTCCATACGGGGGACTCTTCCAGAGCTCCTTCTCTCCTCACTTCACTCAGAGACTCTTAGGTTTCAGCTCCACACAGAGCCGGGTTTGAACACCTACAGTTTCATGCAGCCGGGGCACCTTTGTTGAGGAGATTTGCTGAGCAAATCCCAGTAATCCCCCTGGGTTTCTCTCCCAGGTTCCCACCTACGTCACTCTGCTTCACATCTCTGTCGGCTAACCATCAGCCTCGATAAAAGGAGCTGGAGACAGCCAACAATAACACTTTTATCACCTTAGATTGTCTTTAACGGAGGGAAGCCGCTGGATATGCTTTTAATAGAAACATCACTGTTTGGCTTGTGCTTGTTCTTCCACCGTGACGAGCTCAACACAGCAGCCATGATCTCACCTGGACTGTCAGGTGTCTGTCTACCTGTGTAGGGCTGATATCAGCTATCATGACTCTGTGTTGCTCTGCACACATCACACACGTCTGTTCACATTGATCGTCTTGCTGGCTTACGTTCTGATCACACGTTCCCTCACCTAAACCACAACTTTTGCCAGTTTGGTTCTGGCCGTGTTCTTGTGCGGCTGCTGGCCTTTAGACAGCTTTCTGGTTTTAAATGAAGAATGAGTTTTATGGTGGGGAAACACGTTTATCTATGTTTGATCTTCTCTCGTGTCAAACAACAAATGTAGAAAACACACGACGGAAGACTTTCTAGAGATCTGAACTGAAAATAACTTTGTCTGTAGAAACAGAACCAGAATCTGTCCTGAGTATGTTCAGTGTTGGGACATTTCTTCTTCTTCTTTCTGGTGCCGCACTCTGTCCTGGTGGTTTGTTGTAGGAGTTCTTCAGCAGGAGTTCTGTCCTGGAAGGGCAGGTCCGGTTCAGAGGTGCTGAAATGTGTGCTGCTGAGAGAAGCTTTGCTCTGGCGGGGGAGTGACGGGCGGCATCTTAAAATAGCACTTGTAAACACACACACACACACACACACACACGCACACACACACACACACACACAGCACATTGAGTGTGTGTGTGTGTGTCTTTACATAAATGAAAGATTAGGCGCACTTGTGTGTATTTGCTTGCAATTCCTCAGGGAAGAATGTATGCAGCTGTGTGTGTGTGTGTGTGTGTGTGTGTGTGTGTGTGTGTGTGTGTGAACTTTGTCCTCCAGTGTTACTTAACCCTGCTGTAACAGTCTCAGCGTTCCCGATAGCTGCTCATCGCGGGCCAAGACCTCGTTATGTCACATTTAAGGTTGGGAGGGTGTTTAAGCGCCACACATAGCTTCATATGTGGCACATACAGTTCCCGGTATTTCAGATAACCGCTTAAATTTATCTGGTGTGTCTTTAAACCCGCCATACATTCTTGCAGAGACATGCTCAGACATGCTCAGACATGTGCCGCCGTCTGGTCGTGCTCACGCTGAGCACCGGTTAGGCCTGTGAGCCTCTGCTGTCTTACTGGGGTCTGAAATAAGTCATTAGAGTTCTGTCATCAGATGTCTTTAAATCGTAAGACCTCCAACAAGTAGCTGTCCACATGACGTCATGCGTGCTAGTCAGCTTAAAGTTCTTCAGGTAATTGAGGCCTATCTGCAGGTGCTTCATGTTGAGCTGAAGCCAGGAGAGCGAGTCACAGCCACAGGAGTTAGATGTAAGAAGAAACGAGTTCATCAATGGAGCGCCCGTCACACACACCGATAGGAACACGACCCCCTCTTCACACATCATCCCACTTTGTCTGCAGGCGTATGGAAAGCAGCCCCTCACACAGGCCCGCGCCTTGATTATCATTTTAATGGGCTAGCGCGCTCAAAGTCGGGAGTCTTTGGGGCTGAAATTATTTATTGTTCCTATCGGAGCAGGACAAAAGGGGAGGCGCTCGCTCACACATTAAAAACAAAACAACAAGGCCAGTTTTATGTGCATGATGAGATCCGTGTGCAGGGCGTGAACATCATCACATGACCAGGGCGGTAGTCGCCGGGGTCGACATGAGAGGAGAGGCTGTGAAGGAAGTTCTTATAATACTGATGAAAAACAATTAGCCCGGAGGAAAGGGGCGGGGCTTCTGTGTGGCCATCAGAAGTCCTGTCGGATGGAGCTGGCACGGCGCCACGCTGGAGCAACTGAAGCAAAAAGGCAATAAAACGGGGAGCGGAGGGGGTGGGGGGCATGAAGGCAGTAAGGAAGGAGAGGGGGGCGGCTGAGGGAGCACATTAACAAGCTCTGCTCTAAATTGGTGTATTACAACTGCCCCCTGGCTGTGATTCCCCACGGAGGCGGGTTATGCGAACCACCAGCTCCAGGCTCCCCTCCGAGTCTGAATAATGTCACCCGGTGCAGTTAACCTCTGCGTGGAGGAAAGCCCCAGGTTCTGTCCTACTTCCATTTCTAATCAATGGACATGTTTTTTCTCGGTGTGCCTGTGGAGCTGTGTTCCATCTGCATCTGATAATTGCTCCATAGAGCTGAAAGCATGAAGGCACCTGAACCTTTACATCCACATGTGCTTCGCTGGATGTGTTATTTTAAAAGAGCACCATTAATAAGCAGCTACAGCAGCAGGGAAGACTTTCTACAGGATTTAGTGACCTGGGATGGTACTGATGAGTTCAGATCAGTCTCTTTGAACCAATCAGAATCCTTAGGGGGCGGAGCTAAGCCCAGGATACATGGATGGTGCCCCCTCAGAATAACGACAGGGCAAATGTTCTGGTGAAAAACGCTGTTAAACACATTGTTATTAAAATGAATGATTCACTTGGATCCAGATATTCTGCAGAAATCGACATTTTCAGTGCAGCAGGTTGTTTTTCTCAGAGGCTGGTGGTTCTTTTAAATATCGTAGATGGTGGAAGGAAAGAGAAAACTGTCCCAACCTTAAACCACAGTCTTCATCCGCTGAGGCTGAACTAAACGATGCTTAAAAACAGCTGATTATGCAGTCGGAGGTTCCTCATGTAGGTGCTGCTTGGCTTTGAGGTCAGGCCTCAGGTTCCTCCACCTCAAACTGTTTTCCTTTAGCGGGTATAATCGATGACAGTGTGATGAAAATGTCCAGACGGTGTGATTACCTGAACCTAAAGCTGTTGTTTGTGCTGTCCAGCCTGATGCTCTGCTCCTCTTAAACTGTTTTCAGACAAAAAACTCTTAAAGTCACCGTAAGAATCGGGCAAAAACTATGACGTATCTCAGCTTGTTTCCACCACCTCTAAATGTTCAAAACCATGAGTTAGAGCTGGTTTAAAGGCCTGTGTTTGTGCATAAGCTATTGTCGTGCTGCAACAGGAAAGGCCTTCCCTGCAAAGTCAAAGTCAGCCCATTGTCTACAAGTGCTTTGTGTTCTGAAGCATTAAGATTCCCATTAGTTGGGACAAAGACAGAAACCAGCAACACTTTAGACACGATGTCCAGATACGTGTCTGTTCTGTCTTTGCCTCCCTGTGTGTTAACGTGGACGTATTCCTTCATAGCTTTCTGTCATAATCAGACCTGGCAGTCCAACGTGCACAAACCAGCA